CCGGAGCCCGGCAGGTCGAGGCTGCAGTGGCCGGGAGTGGCCACTGCACTCCAGTCTGAGTGAGACTCCAACTCAAAAAAAAAAGAAAAGGCTCCCTGGCTCACGTTGTTGCTGTTACGCATTTATTGACTCTTGGAATAAGCCTGCCACACGTGCTAGGGATCAGTCTATGCGTGGAGAGGAAAGAACTGGGATGAGGTTTCAGGTGTCACATCAGAGCTTCTTGGGAAGACAAGACGGTTCATTCTGGGGCCGGTTTGCAAAGCTGACTCGGCGGGCAGGATGGGAGCTGACCCCGTCCTGGGATGGGCAGAGGCCTTTCCCTCAGCGCCTTGGTCCACTGCCCCGGAGCCCTGGCGAGAGAGGAGGCGGCATCACTGAGTCCTGGGTCCTGTGACCCAGGACCCCTTTCTCGGGGACTCCTTCTGGACCCCTGCCTTCCTGGCCGAACTGGGAGAACTAGTCACCGGGGAGACTTGCCCCAGGACCGTGCCGGGTGCCCAGGGCCTTCCCGCTGCAGGGAGTGCCCTCGCCTCCCTCCCCGGAGTCTCCCGCCTGGCTGACTCCTGGGCTCTGGGCCTCCACCCCTTGCCCAAGCCTCGCCGTCCTGGGGCCCCGAAGCTTGGCCCATGTGTGTTCCTGGAGGTGGGCGGCCGGCCCTGGATGGAGTTTCAGCTCTCACGACGTGGTGGGGGGCCCTAAAGCCTCCTCCCCACCTTTATACAGGGTGGTGGACACGGCCTGGGGCGTCCGAAAGCCTCCTCCCACCCCATCTCTCCAAGCAGGCCAACACTGCCTGTGGGGGAAGCGCGGCTGCCCCCTCCCACACTCCCAGCCCTTGGCACCGGGTGGCGGGCGCCGCCTGTCTCCTCACCGGCTGCCCCTCCTGCTCAGGCCATGGTCTCTGAAGTGCGGTCATCCCCTCCCGCCCCCTCCTCCTCCTCTGGCGGAGTCATCCTCCTGGGAGCACTCAGGCCGACCGTGGTGGGGGGCGGCCCCTCGGAGCAACGCCTGCCCTTCCCAGGTCAGCTTGGTCCTCCTCACCAGGGCCTGGTGGAAGGTGACGCCCCTTCCGCAGACAAGGCAGTCGCCTTTCAGGCCCTCGTGCCATTGCGGTGCTTCATCCCAGCTGGAGCGTGGGGCCCCCCTGAAAGCGGGGTGTCCGGCGGCCCTGTCCCTGGGAAGTGGCCTCCCCTGACCCTGCCTCCCTCCTGATCTCCTTCCTGGGAGGTCCTGCCGTTCCCCTCCTTGGGGAGTCTGCTCCTGGCCAGGCCACCCAGCCCGGCCCGGCCCGGCCCCCCTCCCTGCACGCTGGTCTCCAGCCTCCCTCCGGGCCCCTGGGGGGTGTTCTCGCCTCCTTCGGCCAGGTGGGCGTCTGTAGGCGATCCCAGCCAGACAGTCGGACCGTCCAAGGGGCACCTCTGCTCCTCCCCGCTCATCCCCTTCCTTTAAGGAGGCCGCGGCGAGAGGCGTCAGCAGTGACTGTCATGGGG